AAATGAGATACACAGATAGAACTGTTTATCACTAGTGAAACAATGTAAGACACACATGACAAGTCAGCTTAACCGAACCCAGAGATTTAGTGATATATGTTGACTACAGACATGATAACGCAACCTGGCCCGACCCACACAGATAGAACTGTTTATCACTAGTGAAACAATGTAAGACACAGATGACAACTCAGCCTAACCGAACCCAGAAGTTTAGTGACATGTATTGACTGCAGACATAATAACGCAACCTGACCCGACCCAGAAATTCAGTGAAATATATGTTAACTACAGACATGATGACGCAATCTGAGCGGACCCACTCAGATAGAACTGTTTATCAGTAGTGAAACAATGTAAGACACACAGGGCAGCGCAACCTTACCCGACCCAGAGATTCATAATGCCATCTTTCCTGAATCAAATATATCATTCATTACATACCAATGTTCCAATCTTCAATCGCATCAACAAAACACGAAGGAAGAAGTGAACTACATCTAAACACTCTTTCTCATTCCAAGTTTCGATCCGTCTACTAGTGACAATCTTTCACATGATTGATTTTTCATTTATTGATGCAATTTCCTACTCCGTATTTAATTAAAACATACATCACATGCATCACACACACACTACACATCCTTTTCTTTCAGATTACATACACCATTCCCTGAAACCAACACCATCGCTAATCCAATCAAACTAACGCTATTCGAATGAGTAATTTTTCATATTCCAGTACATCACACTAAGACTGCTGAGTGTTAAAGGTAAAGTTGGATGGTTGGCCGGAAGTATGTTTGCACAGTTTGCAGCGACTTTTTCGTAGAACCGACGTGCCTCTGCATAATGACCCATGCGTTCATATACTAAAGCGATATTGTTGTAGCAAGCATCTAAGCGCTCATCATCGGTAGGCAAAGTGTTTTCCAGCATTTCGATTGTTTTTTGATAAGACTCAGCTGCTTGTGAGTAGTTTCCGATACTATTGGATATTAGATCAATATCGTTGTAAGAATAGTGTAAGAAGAACCTAAGGCAATACAGTCTAAAGGAAGAGTATTTTGCCGAATCGCTAAGACTTCTTGATAAATGACATTGCTTCAGAATTTTGACCTTGACTACGTTTGATCCAGGCAAGCCGTGCGCAGATCTTTGATTTCTCTATAGCAGTCGGTTCTTGCCGAATAAGTATTCGATATAATTCGTCGGCTTTGTCAAATTCACCTAATATGATAAGTAATTCGGCCAGTCGAGCCCATGCTGTTGTTTGTGAAAATAATTCCGTGTGAATCTGGGTAGTAAGAGCGTTGAGTTGCTTGTCATTATCGCTGGTCAATGTCAGTTCGACTTGCCATAATCGATCCATGCCATCAATGTTTTGATTTCACCAATACGAAAAACGGTATGCATTGAAAAGAGAATCTCCTGCTCTGAATCCGTGTAGCATTTGAACTTGATGAAGTTCTTGAATGTTTTCGTGAAGAGCACGAACGAAAAAGCCTAGTTAATTTAATAAGCGTATCAGTTTCCAAAGTACGAAGAGCTCTGTTTAACATTGAATAGATGAAACAGGGATAAGTATACCACCAAATTGGACGATGACGATAGTAATCTTGCTTGAACAGGGTAATGTTCGCAGGTTTATGATGGTTTTAAGCGTATTTCTCACGACAATATTCAGCGAAATCTTTCACTGATTGTTCGCTATATTCGACTTCAAGGAAAATTTCTTTGATTATTTGAGTATACATAAATGTATGGTCAAGTTCATCTAAATTTTGTTTGGACTCATTATTCAATGAAATTAACTAATCGAGACCGAATTTTCATCACAATGCTTGGAAACTTGCTTCAGAGATTCACCAATCGAGGTGAGGTCTTTTAAATACACCTCTTACTTTTGACCAATTTTGTGTCCAGTGTTCATCGTTCGCTTGACTTTCACAGAAGATGAAGATACCGTTCAGTTGAGATATATCGTGGATTAAAGGTATTATTCGTTCACCCAAAACTTCCGATACAAGCATACATCCTTTTTCATATTTGGTCTCAGTAAGAAAATCGATACTTTCATCGAAAAGGATTTCGATTTCTCATTGTTTTGATCAGAGATCTGCTACGACTATCTTCGACCGTACGAGCACAGGATATTGAGAGAAAAGTCAACACGATAGTTCTTGATAAATAGTGGACATTAACTTCATTCTCGATCTCGAAAAGCTCAAGCGCATTGTACATTTTAAACTCGCAGCAACACCGTTCTATTGCGTTTTTTTGTTAGTCGAGTTCGTGGTATGAGGTAATTTATGATCAGAACTGTCGGCGAATGATACGAAAGGTGCAAAAGCATTAAATAGTTATTATGAAACGAAGGAAGTTACTGACTCATATTTTTTGCTCTTCAGCTAAATTTCTTATTCATTCATACATGTATATAAAGAAAAGGTAAAAGCAGACAAGTATATACTGCAAAAAAAAACGTGTTGTCGATTACTTTCTACTACCGTCCAAAAGCAGCAAGTAGAAAAAAATGAGGCAGCAACTACAACGAGTTGACAAAATTCTGACGCGGATTCAAATGCTTGAAAAGTCTTACAAACTATTTTACAACATAATCAGTGTATTCCTATCATCATGGTTGTGTTGGATTACATTCACTAGCTGCAACTCAATCATTTCCGACGTTGATCTTTGGCGCAAATGTCTTGAATCAACTAGGAAATGTTCATTCAACGGCTTGATCGTCTATACAACGGTGATCTATGCTGTGACTAATATTTTATATCATCTCTTAACGATATTTTTCGAAACTTTCCAGTTAATTCGAGATCTATTGAATGAATTTAAATCTATAAGAATATATCTGATGTTGGCTGTGCATGCTGTGTTCGTAAGTATGTGGTACTATAAGCCAGTGGAATTTAACGACTTCCAGACAGAAAAACTCACCTTATGTCATGATAATTATATGTCTACGACGTTGACAGTGTTTAAAAGCTCAAAAATAGAAAGCTTATGTATTAAAAACTTATATAGTTCAGTGTTTTGGACGGTACTGTTTGACGATCTTCGTATCTGCATTATTCTTCAGAGTCTCCTGATCAAGCTCTTATTAATCTATTCCAACTCATCAAGTATTGCGAGAGGTTCGGGTCCGTTTTGTCGAAAAGTTAAGACCGATTAGCTATATTTATCACTTCATCGACATGAATATCTTTCTTATACATATTCATAAAGAAAGAAGAAATAATAAAAAAATGTTTTTTTTATGTATTCGCGCACTTTGTTGTTGTTTTTCTTGTTCATGTGCTGAATTTCGTAGTGCATTGGCAGCCGAAAGGAATTCTCGAATGCCAAATGAAGGATGCTTCTCCCAATCCGGCGGAAAGATTTCTTGTTCAAAAAATAATCTCACATCGTCAATACTGATCTTACCATGTTTGCCCAAAATATTCAGAAGAACACTTGCTTCTCCCCAAGCTCTTTCCTCAACGCCTTTATCCCATATGACCTGGGGATTAGTTGCGAGACTGTCCGCGGTAAAATGTAGACGAGCAGAAGCTATGTCATCGATCGTCAAGAATTTGCCATCTTTAGAAAAGATAAAAGTTTATTGAAACGTCCTTGATTAAGTTTGCCATCGGGATTATCACATAGCGCGGCGTCGACTCTACTAAGCGAAGCATCATGTTCAATACTATCGACCGCATGACGGTTCAGATCCGAAAGCGAAAGTAAACCATTTTTGCCTGCCTTCTTGTATGCGAGATGAACAAGACCTTTCGCACCGATCCAACTCAAACTCAATTTCTGCTATGCAGATCAATGACGTTTTTTCTTTCATAAATATCTTCTCAGCGAACATACCTGCAAAGCGAGTTGTAACATCTCGGGTGTGATGTTATTCCCATCTCGCAGCAGATATCCGTGGTTTACTAATGCGTTTAATGCAGGACATGGCGAACGTGTATCATTCGGTCCAGCTGCTTGATAGTTGTGTTGGGATTCGTCAGAAAAGACCGTAGTAGATTTCCAATTACCCATCAATAGGGTGAAATAATGTAATTTTAACTCGAATGTTTTTCTCTTAGATTCTCGGATAGATACGTCGTCGTTATGCGTATCTGTTATTTGCACAATGATATGCGGTATGTAACAGGGCAGGAAACGGACCGGTTGGCCCGCCCGCCCGGCCCGGTCCGGAATTTTGCGGGCGGGTGGCCTCAGTTCAGGCTATTCTTGGGCTCGGTCGGGTCGGGCTGAGGCGGTTCACGGGCCGGTCGGACCAATTTAAATAGTCGGGCTCCC